AGCGGGACAGCGCGAAAGAAAAGATGCGGGAGATAACGACGATCCACACATCTGGTGTTGAAACATTGGAGACAGGGGAAATTGTTTATTTCGATGTTCGAATGTCCTCTCATTCTTATTGAACGTGGTGACCGCCGCGATGGCGATCAGCGCGGTGGCAGTGGCGGCGATGGCGATCGCGAACATAGGGCCGCTAATGAAATCGGTAGCGCGACCAGTGTTCACGGCGCTCATAGATGCTGTTTTTTCTCACGCAGACGCGGTGACACGCATTGCCAGCTCCCGGCACGGAGTTTCCCAGTCGCAGGTGATCGTTGACGCGCTCCGCGCGAGGGGAGGGGACGAGGAGGGGTTCGGCAACACGTGGCGGGCTTCGGCGGTAAGCCGCGACGTATTCGGGAGTTCGCCCAGAAATTTCAGCAACACGCCAGGGGGTTCGAGAAAGCTCCCAACCGCTCCGACAACACGTTCCGGGTCACAGAGGCTTTCGGCCTGTCCCGAAAGTGAGGTTTTCTGCTCTGGCAGTTCGTCCAGCGTCACTCGAGACGGCAGGTGGATCTTCTGCGTGCGGGTGGTGAGCACGAGGCTTCTAGGGTGCCTCTTGGGGCTTACTTGACGCCTATTGGGGAGCCTCCTGGGGCCTCCATGGGAGCCCCTTCCCTTCTAGATCTCTCCCGGGGCCTCCGGGGAAGCCATAACATTGTGTCTTAGCTTTCGGTCGCCATGGTGTTCGCATCGCAACGTTTGGTCCGGATGTTCGGTTGTGGATCACCGCCCGAAAGCTTGGGGGGTGTCAATGCCGACATGTTTCCGATTCCGCGTGTTTGCGTGGATGCGTTACGGCAGTTTTGGGTTCGTTATTGAACAAGCGGTTATGGCATCGAAACAAAATGACTGTATTTTACGCAAAGGTTTCGTTATCATGTGGATGGATGTCAGAGCACATTTTGATTACATATAAGGAAATCCGTAGGAACAAACAGCATGCGGAGAGGGCACAATATTTCCGACCAGAGTCAAGAGAGAGAGGACAGTGATATTCTTACTGTACAATCGTAAAGAAGGAGGATAGAGGAGGTGAAGGAGGAGGAGGAGGAGGGAAGGAGGAAGAGGTAAACGCGACAGGCTCGATCCTTACGTTGGTCTAGCGTAAAAAGGGAGGAGGAGGAGGAGGAGGAGGAGGAGGAGGAGCGGAAGGAAGGGGAGGAGGAGAAGAAGGAGGATGAGGGGAGGCGATGAGGATGAGGAGAACAAGCAGGAGCGGGAGCAGGACCAAGACTCATGCCGAATCCAGGATTCGGGGGCGTACGCAAGAAGAGGAGCAGAGGGAGGGGGAGCCTGGAGATACAGGGGCGAGGAAGAGTGAGGAGGAGGAGGAGGAGGAGTGAGGAGTGCGGAGTGAAAAGTGACGAGAGGATGCAGTGAAAAGGGGGTTGAAGGAGAAGGCGGAGGAGGAGGAGGAGGAGGAGGAGGAGGAGGAGGAGGAGGAGGAGAAGGGAGGAGGAGGAGGAGGAGGAGGAGGAGGAGGAGGAGGAGGGAGGCGATGTGGAGCAAAAGGCGGGGGAGAAGCAGGAGAAAGACGACGATGGCAACGGCGACGGCGACGACCACCACCACGAGCCTGGCAAGGGGGCCGGAAGGCCGCATTGCCTGGCAAGCGTGCGTGCGAAGCGGCCTGTGCGAGACGGGCACACCCCTTCCTCTCGCGGCCTGGCCTTGGTTGGGTGGTGGGCGCCCCCGTTGTCGGCTGACGGGCCACGTGCGGGAATGATTGCAAGCTCGCGCCGCCTCGACGCGGTGGCGACGCTGGCGCGGGCGTTCAAGGTTGAGCACCCACCAGGGGTCCACTTTGGGCCCCCGGGAGTAACGTGAAGCAGCCCACGGCGACATGCCTCGCTGAGGGGATTCAGGGGTGCAGGGAGGCTCTGGACAGGCATTTATCGTTATTGCATTCGCCCTCGGGGAAGGAGGAGGAAAAGGGAGCGAAGGAGGAGGAGGAAGAGGAAGAGGAGGAGGGGGTGAAGGGGAGGAGGAGGAGGAGGGGGAAGACGAAGAGGAAGCTGCGGAGGAGGACAAGGGCGGAGGAGGAGGAAAAGGAAGGAGGAGTAGGAGTCGGACGGAGAGGATGGAGGAGGAAGAGGAGGAGGAGGAGGCGTGGGAGGATGGGGCGAGGAGGAGGAGGAGGAGAAGGAGCGGCAGTTGGGAGGATGGGCTGGAAGTGCATTGGCAGGACGTCGCGACGTCTTGTTAAGAAGGGCAGAAGGAGGGAGAGGAAAAAGGTGGCGATGAGAAGGAGGAGGACGAACTTTTTGGTCTGCGGGCTCGCGAAGCAGGTCGAAAGCCGTCCGAACACTAGCCGGGCCGCGACTAGGCAGCAAGAAAAGAGAGGCAAGCAAAGTGAGCGCGCGGGCAGCCACTCAGAAGAAGAAGAGCCAGAAGCAGAAGGAGGACGAAAATGAAGCGTGGCGAAAGCGGAGGCCCTTCCTCGTCCTCCGTCCTCCTGTGCCTCCCCAGCTCCCGCCCTCCATTTTCAGTATTTCGCCGTCTTCATCCTTTCATTACGTTGTCTCTCCTTCTCCCCGTCTGCCTCCTCTTCCTCTTGCTTCTCTGAGCAGTGCTCGCTCAAGCCATGATGGATCGAGGCACTTTGGGGGCTCAAGGGGATCGAGTTGCCGACGCGCGGGCTTGATCTTCAGATACTGGCACATGGTGTATATATTTCAACACGCAGCTTGCCTCATGGATGCTGGCCCGAGCTCGAGGATCCGGTCCAGATGCCTGCTCTCTCAGAGCTGCCTTCGCGGCAAGCGCGAGCCCACAACGATGGAGCGCAGCGCTGCAGCTGTTCCGCGCGAAAGGCAGCCACACCCATTATGCTGCGGCTCTCACCGCATGTGCAAGAGGGGCACAGTGGCAGCAGGCACTGTCGCTCCTCAGCGAAAGCGTGGGGATCCGTGTGGAGCCCGGCGTCGTCAGCTACAGCATCGGGATCAGCGCCTGTGGAAAGGGAGGGCACTGGAAGCACGCGCTCTCTCTATTCGGCGAGATGCTGGAGGCAATGCTGGAGCCAGATGTCATCCACACTGCTGTGACAAAGTGTCGAACGCCTGCGGGCAACTCCGCGGCGCACAGAAGTCTAGTCGTGGGAGCGGGCCCTGGAAGCGACAGGGCAGTTCTTTTTTGTGTTTGTTCCGTTTGCGGTTTCACTTTGTTGTTGTTCAGTTTGCGGTTTCAGTTCGTGGTGTTCAGTTTGCGATGTCAGTGTGTTGTTGTTGTTGTCGTTGTTGTTGTTGTTGTGTGGTTTCAGTTTGCGGATTCAGAATTTTGTTGTACCGTTTGCGGTTTCAGTCTGTTGTTCGTTTCTGGCATTGGTGTTATCTCGACTTTGTCTGGAACTGGCGTCGTCTATCTTCGTCGTTTTCGGCTGGTTTCGGGCGTCGTTTTATTCGCCGTTTCTGGTTGCAGTGTTTTCCAGTTCTCTTCTCCGATCACACGACCGTTTACGAACACGTTCCGAGCGTCCTCGAGGGCTTTCCCAATTTCTCGCCGCCCTCCAGTTTTCCAGTTGCTATTCTCGTCGGGTATCGTCTTAGTTGTTGCTATGTGTTGGTCGTGTTCGTTGCCGCGATGGGTGCGGTTCCACGATCAAGAGACAGTTTCCCCAGACCGTCTTTGCTCTGAGATCCTATTTTTCCCCAAGACGTGTGTTGCACCCAGGGTGTCTTGCGTCTGTCTGAGGGAACCGGATGGGCATCCCATGTGCATTGCCACATTGCCGCCCATGCCGCCGCGTGGGCGCCATGTGGGCGCCTCGCGCTTGGGGAGGTGTGCCGAGGTTGCGCCACGTTGCCGCCTCATGGGCGCCCCGTGCGCTGGGTGGGTTTCCCGGGGTTGCGCCATGCTGCCGCCTCGTGGGAGCCTCGTGCACACCCCGTGCGTTAAGTGGACTTCCCGAAGTTGTGCCCCGCTGCCGCCCATGCCGCCTCGTTGACGCCTCGTGGGTGCCCCGTGCTCTGAGCGTACACGGCGTAGCTTTCACCACACAGCATCTGTTTTCACTACATAGTTTGCACCACACAGTTTCTGCCGCATACCAGATTACGCAACATAGCTCGCACCACACTGCACACTCCCCATAGCTTTCACCTCCAGGTCGCAGCGCCTATCTTACACGACGTGGCCTGCACATGGCTTACACCGCATAGCCTTAAACCTCCAAAGCTCACACCACAACGTTGGCACCACTTAGCTCGCATGGCATGGCTTGCACCTCCACCGTGCACTAATGAACTCTTTGGGGGCCCACTCTGTCGAGTGTCCTTCCTCAAAGTCACGCGACGGGTCCGGTGAGGATCCTCCACGTTGGCGCCCCGTGGGCGCCTCGTGGGCGCTCTGCGCCCTGGGTGCGTCCGCCGAGGCTTCGCCTCGTTGGCGCCCTGGCCCGCCCTTGGGCGCCCCGTGCCCGGGGTGGGTCTGCGCGGGGCTTCGCCTCGTCGGCGCCCCGCGCCCTGCCCGTGGGCGCCTCGTGGGTGTTCGTGGGCGCCCTCGTGTCCTGGGGGCGTCCGCCGGGGTGTCGCCTCGTGGGCGCCCCGTGCGCGCCCGCGGGCGCGGGTGGGCCCCGTGCCCTCGTCCGCCGAGGTGTCGCCCAGTGCCCGCCAGAGTGGGCGCCGCGTGGGCGCCTCGCGGGCTCCCCGTGCCCGGGGCAGGCGACAGGGCTTCCACAGCACAGCTCACACCTCGTAGCTCACACAGCGCAGCTTGCACAGCGCAGCTCACACCACGCAGCCTGCGCAGTGCAGCTTGCACCACATGGCTCGCACACCGAAGCCTGTGAAAGACAGCTAACGCCACATAGCGCACTCCGTATAGCTCCCACCTCCACAGTGCAATCACTCACCGCTTGGGGTCCACGCTGCCTAGTTTTGCCCACGGAAGAGCCGAATAGCAAACTCCTTGTTGTTTCCAGGGGACACTGAGTTTTCTTGCGTCAGCACGGCTCTTCTCAGGGCCCTGAAATGGATTGCAGGAGGCCACTGGAAATTGTAGTTTTTTCCACCCAGGGGGGCGGGGGAGGGGAATGCTACCTCCATGCTCGCACCCGACCTCCCGTGGCAGCTCAGGCGTCTGCACACTTTCTTCGGACACTGTTCTGAGACCGCTTGGGCTGGGGCTGGACGCCCCGGGGCGAGGGGAGGCAGAAACATTGCAAAGTTGGCATTGCTGCTCAAATTAAATCTCTCCTCTGCTCCTTCTGGCTTCTGCCATCTGCCTGCCCCATCAGCAGCTGCCTGTTTGACCACTCCACCCTCAGAGCCTCTCTGGCTTCTACTGCGAGCCCTTCGCACGAGGCACCATGGCCGGCCTTCTTTAGGGTATCTCCTCTTTCCCCCCCACGGCCTTTGCGCTCACTCCGTGAGTGCCTGCCGTGGAGGTTTGTGCCTGCATGGCGGTTAGCCCGTGCCTGCAGTGGGGTGGAGGTTAGTGATGTGGAGGTCAGTGTTTGCATGGAGCGGCCTGACTTGGGATCCAGGTGTCTTCCGTGGAGGTTTGTCCAGGGGTCCATTATGGTCAGCTACGGCGCTAGTGTCAGCGCGTGTGAAAAAGGTGGCCAGTGGACACGGGCGATTTCGCTGCTCAGCGAGATGCGTGAGGCGAACCTGGAGGTAGACGCCATCAGCTGCAGCGCTGGTATCAGCGCGTGCGGTAAAGGGGGGCAGTGGCAGCAGGCGCTGTCGCTACTCAGCGAGGTGTGGGAGGCCAAGCTAGATCCAGACGTCGTCAGCTGCAGTGCTTGTATCAGCGCGTGCGAGAAAGGAGGGCAGTGGAAGCTGGCGCTCTCGCTGCTCAGCAACATTTTGCAGGCGAAGCTAGAGCCCAACGTCATTAGCTACAGCGCTGCTATCAGCGCGTGCGAAAAAGGTGGGCAGTGGCAGCAGGCGCTGCGGTTGCTCAGCAAGATGCGGGAAGCGCAACTGGAGACGGACGTCGTCAGCTGCAGCGCCAGCATCAGCGCATTCGGGAAAGGCGCGCAGTGGCAGCGGGCGCTTTGGTTGCTCTGCGACATGCGGGAGGCAAGCTTGGAGCCTGACATGTTCAGCTACGGCGCTGGTATCAGCGCGTGCGAGAAGGGCGAGCAGTGGCAGCGGGCGCTGTCGCTGCTCAGCGATATGTGGGAGGCGAAGTTGGAGCCTGACGTCGTCAGCTACAACGCTGGTATCAGCGCGTGTGAGAAAGGCGGTCTTTGGACGTGGGCGCTGACACTCCTGAGCGACATGCTAGAGGCGTTGTTGGAGCCAGACGTCTTCTCTACAACAATGCCGGGACCAGCGCCTGCGAAGCTGGAGCGAGCGGCGAGGCTCCTCCGCGGCCTTGGGGCGGGCGCCTTGCCGGCCCCAGACGGCCCGGTGTGGCTCCCGCACCGGCTCGAGGCATTCGTTCTGGGTTCTTGCTCGTTGTTGTGCCGCTCTCCACGTCGCGGCTCCAGACGGCTTCGCCAGGGGCCCGAGCCTCCTCCAGGAGGGCCCAAGAGGCACAGAGGCCCCCGGGAGGGCCCAAGACGGCCCCAAGGCGGCCCAAGGTGGGCCCAGCAGGCCTCCAAGACGGCCCCGAGACGACCCCAGACGGACCCAAGAGGACCCGGACGTCCCCCCCGAGCGCCTCTGCAAGGCACCTGAGCCCTCCCCCCCGCAAAAGCACCCCGAGGCCCCAGCGGGCGGCCGGAGGGCCCCCCCCAGGGAGCCCGAGAAGCTTCGGAGAGGGCTCAAAGAAGGGGGTCCCACGAGCGACCCCAGAGGCCATTGGGACACCCGTGTGCTGGCCGCGTTCTCCCTCCTCACTCCTCGCCGCTCGTTCCTCGCGCCTGGCCCCCGCGCCCTCCTCGCGCCTGGTCCCTCGGTCCTCACTCCTCCTCGCTCCTCGCTGGCCCCTCGCGTTTCCCTCTCGGCAACTGGCGCCTGCCTCCCCCATCCTCGAGCCTCGTCGGCTCTCTTGCGGCTCTCCCTCATCCCTCCTGACCTCTCTTTCTTTACAGGTTGTGTTATGTGTTTCTGTCTATGTTTGTTGCTATGTGTGTTTTGTTCTCTCTCTCTCTTTCTCTGTCGTCTACCGTCGTTCGTCGTTCCTGCCTTCTCGTTCCTTGCTCCTCGCTGATCGCCCCTCGTTTTTCCCTCCCTCGATCCTGACTCCTCGCTCCTTGCCCCTCGCCCCATCAATCCACTCACGGGCTGCAGGTTGCGTCAGCCAGCAGGAAGCAGCACCCTGCAGCCTCAAGCAGCAACAGCGAATAGCAGCAGTCCGCAGCAAGCAGCGGCAGCGCATAACAGCAGCAGCAGCAGCAGCAACACCAAGCCGCAAACGCAAACAGCAGCACCCTGCAGCTGCAGGCAGCCGCAGCAGAGGCGAAGTCCCGGCCCGACGTCAGCACCAAAGCCTTCTGGCAACATCTCCGCCCTGACCCAAGCTGCCAGCTCGGACAGAGTTCACGGCCAGAGGCCACCAGTCAGCACTAGGCTGTACTACAATTCTGCGCGACGCGCGTGCGAAAGGGGCGAGCGCTGCGAGATCCGCGCGCGCCTCGAGGCGCTCCACGCCTGCTCCAGCGGGCCCCCCCGATGGCCCCAAAGCCGGCCCCAGACGGCCCGCGGACAGCCCTGATGCTTTCAAGACCCTCCCCCTCCTCCCCCTTCTCCTTCCCTTTCTCCTCCTTCCTCCACCTCTTTCTCCTCCTTGTCTTCCTCCTCCTCCCTCAACCTCCTTCCGTCGCTTTTTTGGCTCAAGGCCCATGGCCCCCGTGGGGCCACGCAAATACCTTCTATCCGAGGCCAGGCCACAAGTCTTGCTAACTTCCTTCGAACCCACAGTGAGCTGCCCAGCGGCTGTGGGTTCCTTTTCCTGCACTTCCAAGGATCACGCTTGTCTTTCCCGCGGTGAGCCCAGGGGATTCAGCCCCCAAGGATGAAACGAGTTCCATGAAAAGGAAAACCAAGGAAGGAGCTCGGCCCGCTCAGTCCTCCTTTGGCGGCGATGAGGCAGAGATTGATACGCAACCTTACTCCGACAAAGGCAAGAAGGGCAGTTCTGCGAAGGACCCGCTGAGAGAGAATGACCGTTGGACGACCGCCAGCGGCCGTCAGACGCGAGGTGTTGCTGCAGGTGGTTTCTCCGACGCCAAATCCTACGCTTTTCCCGGCGACGACGGTCCCCCGCCTTCCACTAGGCCGAGGACACAGGCCCGCAGATGGCACCTCGACGAGCACGGTATCCTGGAGGACGAGGGCGCCCAAGATAAGCGCATTGCAGTAGCATTTGCCAGCGGCGGTGCTGGCCCCTCGCCGAGCTTCGACATGGCAGCTGGCGGCATGAGCTCTGACTATTCCATTCCACCCAATGTCGAACTTCATGGCACACCATCCACTTCTGACCTCATGAGCTTCCCACAGCAGATGAAGGACAACAGGAATAAACAAGGTGAGGGCGATCGGGCAATGTTTTCGTTCGTCGTTCGACAAGCACGAGCAGAAGACCAATGATATCACCGAGGTGCCCAACGCCCAGGACAAGATCCAGCAGGCCTTCCACTCCATGGAGCAGGACAGCCTCTTCGAAAGCCTCGACGCCAGGCTGGAGGCCAAGTTGGATAATGAGCTGAAAGCTCGCAACTCCGGCCCCAGCGCAGCGCCCAGCCAGGCGGGCCATGGTGCTGCGCCGCGGAGGCAGGACCCGGACCCAACGAAGGTCTGGATACGTGGTTCCCCCCACCAGATGCTCGCATCGGTCATGCGCACCCGCCGCCCGGCGACGATCCTGGCGATGCCGCGAGACATGGCCGCGCAGGTTGCGGCCAAGTGCTACAATCTGAACAGGAACTACGCAATCAAGTTCGGCAGCCACCTCTTCGCGGGAACGCGACTTGATCGAGCCCAGTTCGGACGCTGCGCGCGGACGGACAGGGGCGGCAAGATGCGCTCGCCCAGAGGCAGCACGGACGCAAACTACGACGCCCTTGAAAAGGTACCTCGGCACGATGTGGCAGCAGCTCGCTGACCGCATGAGAAGAGTGGAACTGATTGACAATTCAGTCATGAAGATTAGCCGCCAGCGCTACAAGGGCGCCCGGTTCCCGGCGCGGGGCGACGAGGCGCGGGCCCTGTTCGGCGCAAACATCGGCAATAGCGAGCAGCTCGATTTCGCATCAGAGATCGAACCTTGCAAACGTTTCAACACTTCGGAGGCGGAGGCCAACGATTGGACTCACCTCGCCCTGCAATCGGAGATTTGCTCATAGTCGAAGAGCGCTCACGGCGCTGGCCCTTCTCGGCCAGGCCAACCCCCAAGCTCGATTCGACAAGCGGGCTGCCGCGCGCCGGCGGGGCCGGCGCCCGCGGCTGGCATGTCAGAGGCAGGCCAGCGACGCGAGGGGGCAGCGTTGCGCCTGCTCGCCTGGCCGCGCACGCTCGGAGCGCCGTTCTTCTCCGTCGCCCTCGTCTTCGCCGCGCCTCCCCTCTGCCCGCCGCTCGTCTGGCTGCAGTTCCAGCGCCGGCAGTCTTCGCGCCAGTTCGCGACGGTTTCAGATCTGGTCTACGCCTGTAGCAGCCACTTCGAGCACCCAAAGATCAGCCAAGGCAACCAGCGCACCCACTGCACAAATCCGCTCCAAACATTGATCTTCTGCCGAGCTCAATTCCAAACATAGCGCGGTCGGGGCTCAAGAGACTCGCGGTCATCTAGATGCGATGGGATGTCTCGACATTCACAGCCTGCGCGCGTCTGGCACTGTTCACCTGCGCGAACGGGTTCGGGGGGCGCGCGAGTTCAATCCACCCATCGCTTTGCGCTTCTTCTCTCGCCGCCAACATCGGTTTCACATTCGGGGTGGGATCCGCAGCATCGCCCTCTCAGTGCTCAGCGGGGGCCCCCAGGCCCCCCACCCCCACCGCATCTCCAAACTCCGCCGGGGCGAACAACTCAGAGTTCACCCGTGAAGCCGCATAGTGCTTCTGCCGCAGTCTGTTGCTTCATCGCTAGTGCTCGGCGACTGGCAGCGGCCCAGAATGGCGTCAGTCACACGGGGATCGGCAGGACGCATTCAGACTTCAACCCCGCCGCGGCCCCGGGCCACAACCCGAACAGCCTCGCCCTCGGCGCCCGGCGAGCCCAGAAACCCATTGGATCATCCACCTGTTCGCATGATCTTGGCCCCGCCAGCGCTTTCTTGGACCCCCGAGGCGCCGTCGCGGGCTGCTGCTCGCCACCGCTGGTTCACAGAGGAGATCAACAGGATTCTCGGCGAGGTGGGCCCGCGCTCCACGAATCTCGAAGGTGCCCTTAAGGAAGACGATGACAAATTTCGCGGAGCGGCGCGGCGCGTTCGACGACGCCCGGCCCTCGGCCCAGCGCAGAGCGCCGACGAGAGGATCCCGCAGTCTCTAAGTTTAGCGCGCGCTCTGATGGGGAGGTACAAAGCTGCCCACTGCCATCCAGGTTTGGTAATTTCCCCCGCTTCGTTTCACAAGATCATAAGTTATGCTTTCTCATCCTGATATGGTGCAGGACGGCGAATTCATCTGGCTTCGATCGCGAGGGCAAGAACTTCTTATTATTGATGTTTCGGAACAAATCTGGAATATGGCCCGTAAAAACACACACACACACACACACACACACACACACACACACACACGCACACACAAAAAAAAGGGCAGGGGCACGCCGGCAAAGCCTCAGAGAGGGCCCCCATGGGCGCCATGGAGCGCCGGGGGCGACGCCTTGACGCGGACGTCGGCAAAACTTTCGAGTTTGGCTCAAGGGGGCTCCTTTGGGCGCCAGGGAGCGAAGGGGGAGAAGCCCTAACATGGGCAAGGGGCAGGGGGACCTCGGCAAAGCTCTAGAGGGCCCTTTGCGCGCCATGGAGCGGTGGGGGGGGGGGGGGGGGCGAAGCCCTAACATAACATGAGTAAGGGGGGCACGCAGACGTTGGCAAAGCTTCAGAGGGGCCCTCTGGGCGCTATGGAGCGGAGGGGGCGAAGCCCGAATGTGGGCAAGGGGCAGCTGGACGTCGGGAAGGCCTCAGAGGGCCCCTTGAGCGCCATGGAGCGGAGGGGGCGAAGCCATGACGCAAGCAAGGGAGAGGCGGACGACGGCAAAGTGTTGATATTATTTGATTATCTCGCCGTCTGGTGGCAAGTGTTTCGTCTTTCCTGATCACATGTAGACATGCCAGATGGCATGCCCTCAAACTATCTATGGACCCTGGACAACTTCTTGTCGCACGCATGTGGCCCCTGATTCCACAGCTATTTGTTTGTCTTTTATGCCAGGGCTGTCGATACAACATCAAACATTACCTAGCGTGCCCGAGTTGGTTTGAGTTCGCTACTGGTCCCCAACGGCCGCCCCACGGATATATCTATATATATATATATAATAATAATAATAATAATAATAATAATAATAATAATAATAATAGTAATAGTAATAGTAATAATAATAATGATATTGTGGCTTGGGGGAGCTCCTGCGCACAGAGGTCGGCACTCGCTCGGCTATGTTGATCGTTATCTTGCCGGTGCCTTCTACATAGATCGCGCCAGGAAGGGGAGATTGACAACCTCCTCACGTTTACGTCAATGCTCCTGCCGCTACCCGATTTCGTGTTTTCGCCATGCGTTCGCACGAGGCGTAGGCGGCCAAGAGTTTTCAGGGGGCGTTCGCTCCTCCTCCGCCTCATCCTCCTCCTCCTCCTCCTCCTCCTCCTCCTCCTCCTCCTCCTCCTCCCTCCTCCTCCTCCTCCTCCTCCTCCTCCTCCTTCGTCTCGCCTTCCTTCCCTTCACCGCTTCCTCCTCTCCCCCCTGCACACGCCAGCAAGTTTCGCCCCCCCCTTCACCCACGGACGATTAGGGGTGAAAGGGGACCCCCACAGCAGCAACCACAGAAAACTTTGACGCCAAACAAGGCCCCAGAAAACTCATGTGTCCGTCCTTTTCTCTCTGGTGCCGCTCTCCCTCCCCGCTTTCGGGTCGGCGACACCGTGCTCGCGTCGGCGACACCTGCGCTCTCGGGGCCGACGCTCCGAGGCGCCTGCCGTGGATTTCCCACGGGGGCGCATTCGCCACCCCCACGCTGCCAGGCACTGCGCGCGCCAGAAGGGCTCACTGGCCGTCCCCCCCTCTGCGTCGCCTCCGCGGCTCCGCCCTTCGGGCCCCGAGAGGCACCCAGAGCGTTCCTCTCCAGAGCAGGAGAGCCCCCAGAAGGCCCCCACCAGGCTCCTACAAGGCTCCCATGTGGCATCCGAGAGGGCCGCGAGGACGAGCACCCTTCGATATTCTCTCGTTTCTTGGTTGCTGATCCCCTTCTAACGGCCGCCGTCTCCAGCCGAATGATGCGCAACCGACCCCGAGAAGCACCCCAGATCGTCCCCATGGCGCCCAGTGAGCTTCCAAGAGAGCCCTTACGACGGCCCCAGAGGCCCTCAAGACGGCTACAGAGACCCCCCAAGACGGCCGAACAGCTCCCCAAGACGGCCCCACGGGAGGCTCCTTGACGGCCTCCTGGGACACTCCTACGGGGCCCCAAACTATACACCACCACCACCACCACCACCACCACCACCACCACCACCACCACCACAACCTCCCTCACCCATGAAAGAGGAAAGGAAGAGGAGTGTAGAGCAGGGAGGAGGAATCGACGTGGTGGTGGTGTATATTCTCTTGGGGCCCGCAACTCCTCAGAGGCTCCCGGAAAGCCGTCAGCAGCTCGCTCAAAACGGCCTTGACGTGCTTCCAGGAGGCCCCAGTGGACAGGAAAAAACACAGCCCACAGGCTCCCAGAAGGCCTCCAGCAGCTCTGTCCAAACGGCTCCGATGGGCTCCTCGAAAGTACCAGATGACGACCAAAAACTAGACCCCGCACCATTTGGCACATCTCTCGCACGGGAGGGACTGCAGCAAATAGCTGTCCGATCCAGCCGCGGACCCCCGGGAGCACTGGTTCTGCGACCCTTCTCGCGTCGAGCGTGTCCCAAGAGGTGTTATGTTTTGTTGTTCCGATACTCTTGGGCCTCCTCCTTCTCTTTCCCGTCGTCGCTCTCCTCCCTCCACAGGAGCTCCTGCTGGAGCTGCTGCCGCTACTACTGCTGGAGCTGCTGCTGTTGCTGATGCCGCTAATACTGCTTGCGCTAATACTGCTGCCGCTAATACTGCTGCTGCTAGTACTGCTGCCGCTAATACTGCTGCTGCTAATACTGCTGAAGCCCCTGGGTCTGCTGCCGCTAATACTGCTTGCGCTTCTCTAGACGCCGTCAGAATCATCAAAATCATCCAGCAATCAGCGCGTCCTGACACTCGTGCACGGTAGTCCACGGGTCAGTCCCAGTCTATATTCCAATGCCGGGAGCCCAGCGTGCCAGAAGGTCGGGCAAAATCGCTCTGCGCTGGCCCCGGGCCGCCCCGGTCCGCCTAGACAGGCTCGAAGCTACGCCCAGAGAGCCCCAAGAGGCCCAAGCCGGCCCGACAGGTCTCCAAGGTGCCTTGTGAGACCTCCGGGGAAGGTTCCCCAGAGGACCCCGAGCAGGAATAAACGTTAATGTTTTTTTGTTTTTTGTAGAATGTTTGCCGTGCTCGCCTTTTCGGCTTCCATACGATCCGCGACGGCCTCAGACGTTCCCCAGACGCCTCCAAGACGGCCGAAGAGGCCCCCAAGAGAGCCCCAAGACGGGCCCACAGGACCTCCAAGTCGGCTCGACAGGCTCCCAGAGGCTGGCCCCGGGCCGCCCACAGAGGCTCAAAGACACGCCCAGACAGGCTCGAAGCTACGCCCAGAGAGCCCCAAGAGGCCCAAGCCGGCCCGACAGGTCTCCAAGGTGCTCCGTGAGACTTCCCGGGAAGCTTCCCCAGAGGGCCCCGAGCAGGAAAAAACATTGATTGTTATGGTTTTTTGCCGAGTTTTTGCTGTGCTCGCCTTTTCGGCGTCCACACGATCCACGTCCCAAGCCGTTCCCAAGACGCGTCCAAAACGGGCCCAGAGGGCCTCCAAGTCGGCTCAACAGACCCCCAGGTGGGCCCCAGACGCTCAAGATTGGCCCAAGATTGGCCCAAGCCGGCCCGAGAGGTCTCGAAGGTGCTCAGCTACAGCGCTGGGATATGCGCGTGCGAGAAGGGCGAGCAAGCGACCTAAGAGGAGGCTACTTCGGCCACGCGCACGTCGAGGTCATTGGGAAACCCGTGCGGTCGCTGATATTCAACCCTCTCATCTTCCTATTCGTTTCAAGCTCACTGCTTCTCGCCCATCCCCATCGTTCCTTGCTCAGTGGTGGGCAGTGGCAGCAGGCGCTGCGGTTGCTCAGCAAGATGCGGGAAGCGCAGCTGGAGACGGACGTCGTCAGCTGCAGCGCCAGCATCAGTGCATGCGAGAAAGGCGCACAGTGGCAGCGGGCGCTGTGCTTGCTCTGTGACATGCGGGAGGAAATTTGGAGCCTGACATGTTCAGCTACGGCGCGGGTATCAGCGCGTGCGAGAAGGGCGAGCAGTGGCAGCGGGCGCTGTCGCTGCTCAGCGAAATGCGGGAGGCGAAGTTGGAGCCTGACGTCGTCAGCTACAACGCTGGTATCAGCGCGTCCGGCTCGAGGCATTCGTTCTGGGTTCTTACTCGTTTTTGTGCCGCTCTCCATTTCGCGGCTCCAGACGGCTTCGCCAGGGGCCCGAGCCTCCTCCAGGAGGGCTCAAATGGCACAGAGGCCCCCGGGAGGGCCCAAGACGGCCCCAAGGCGGCCCCAGCAGGCCTCCAAGACGGCCCCAAGACGACCCCAGACGGACCCAAGAGGACCCGGACGTCCCACGAGCGACCCCAGAGGCCATTGGGACACCCGTGTGCTGGCCGCGTTCTCCATCCCCGCTCCTCGCCGCCCGTTCCTCGCGCCTGGCCTCGCGCCCTCCTCGCGCCTGGTCCCTCGGTCCTCACTCCTCTTCTCTCCTCGCTCCTGGCCCCTCGCGTTTCCCTCTCGGCAACTGGCGCCTGCCTCCCCCATCCTCGAGCCTCGTCGGCTCTCTTGCGGCTCTCCCTCATCCCTCCTCATCTCTCTTTATCTACGGATTGTGTTATGTGTTTCTTGATATGTATATTTGTCTTGTTTGTTGTTTTCTCTCTCTCTCTTTCTCTCTTTCTCTGTCTCCCCTCTCTCTCTTTCTATATCTCTCTCTCTCTCTCGTTCTCTCTGTTTGTCTCTCTCTCTCTCTCTCTCTGTCATCTACCGTCGTTCGTCGTTCCTGCCTTCTCGTTCCTTGCTCCTCGCTGATCTCTTCTCGTTTGTTCCCCCCCTCGATCCTGACTCCTCGCTCCTTGCCCCATCGATCCACTCACGGGCTGCAGGTTGCGTCAGCCAGCAGGAAGCAGCACCCTGCAGCCTCAAGCAGCAACAGCGAACAGCAGCAGTCCGCAGCAAGCAGCGGCAGCGCATAACAGCAGCAGCAGCAACACCAAGCCGCAAACGCAAACAGCAGCACCCTGCAGCTGCAGGCAGCCGCAGCAGAGGCGAAGTCCCGGCCCGACGTCAGCACCAAAGCCTTCCGGCAACATCTCCGCCCTGACCCAAGTTGCCAGCTCGGACAGAGTTCACGGCCAGAGGCCACCAGTCAGCACTAGGCTGTACTACAATTCTGCGCGAAGCGCGTGCGAAAGGGGCGAGCGCTGCGAGATCCGCGCGCGCCTCGAGGCGCGCCACGCCTGCTCCAGCGGGCCCCCCCGATGGCCCAAAAGCCGGCCCCAGACGACCCGCGGACAGCTTTGATGCTTTCAAGACCCTCCCCCTCCTCCCCCTTCTCCTTCCCCTTCTCCTCCTTCCTCCACCTCGTTCTCCTCCTTGTCTTCCTCCTCCTCCTTCAACTTCCTTCCGTCGCTTTTTTGGCTCAACGCCCATGGCCCCCGTGGGGCCACGCAAATACCTTCTATCCGAGGCCAGGCCACAAGTCTTGCTAACTTCCTTCGAACCCACAGTGAGCTGCCCAGCGGCTGTGGGTTCCTTTCCCTGCCATTCCAAGGATCACGATTGTCTTTCCCGTGGTGAGCCCAGGGGATTCAGCCCCCAAGGATGAAACGAGTTCCAGGAAAAGGAAAACCAAGGAAGGTGCTCGGCCCGCTCAGTCCTGCTCCGGCGGCGATCAGGCAGAGCTTGCCACGCAACCATATTTCGGCAAAAGCCAAAAGGGCAGTTTTGCGAAGGACCCGCTGAAAGAGAATGACCGTTGGACGACCGCCAGTGGCCGTCAGACGCGAGAGGTTTTGCTGCAGGTGGTTTCTCCGACGCCAAATCCTACGCTTTTCCGAGACGACGGTCCCCCCGCCATCCATTAGGCCGAGGACACAGGCCCGCAGATGGCACCTCGACGAGCACGGTATCCTGGAGGACGAGGGCGCCCAGGACTAGCGCATTGCAGCAGCATTTGCCAGCGGCGGTGCTGGCCCCTCGCTGGGTTTCGACATGGCAGCTGGCGGCATGAGCTCTGACCATTCCACCCCGCCCAATGTCGAACTTCATGGCGCACCATCCACTTCTGATCTCATGAGCTTCCCACAGCAGATGAAGGACAACAGGAACACACAAGCTGAGGGCGATCGTGCAATGTTTTCGCTCGGCTGGCTGAGGGCGATTGGCAGATGAGCTGAAAGCCCGCAACTCCGGCCCCAGCGCAGCGTCCAGCCAGGCGGGCCATGGGGCTGCGCCGCGGAGGCAGGACTCAGACCCAACGAAGGTCTGGATACGTGGTTCCCCCCACCAGATGCTCGCATCGGTGCTACAATCTGAACAGGAGCTATTCAATCAAGTTCGGCAGCCACCTCTTCGCGGGCACGTTACTTGATCGAGTCCAGTTCGGACGCCGCGCGTGGACGGACAGCAACGGCAAGATGCGCTCGCCCCGAGCCGGCACGGACGCAAACTACGACGCCCTTAACAGGAAAAGGTACCTCGGCACGATGCTGCTCGTTGACCACATGAGAAGAGTGGACCTGACTGACAATTCAGCGAAGATTAGCCGCCACCGCCACGAGGGCGTCGGGTTCCTGGCATGGGGCGACGAGGCGCGGGCCCTGTTCGCCGCAAACATCGGCCACGGCGAGCAGCTCGATTTCGCATCAGAGATGGAACCTCGCAAACGTTTCAACATTTCGGAGGCGGAGGCCAACGAGTGGGCTCACCCCGCCCTGCAATCGGAGATTTGTTCATACTCAAAGAGCGCTTACGGCGCTGGCCCCTCGGCCCGGCCAACCCCCAAGCTCGATTCGACAAGCGGGTTGCCGCGCGCCGGCGGGGCCGGCGCCCGCGGCTGGCATGTCAGAGGCAGGCCAGCGACGCGAGGGGGCAGCGCCGCGCCTGCTCGCCTGGCCGCGCACGCTCGGAGCGCCGTTCTTCTCCGTCGCCCTCGTCTTCGCCGCGCCCACCCTCTGCCCGCCGCTCGTCTGGCTGCAGTCTTCGCGCCAGTTCGCGACGGTTTCAGATCTTGCCTACGCTTTTAGCAGCCACCTGGAGCACCCGAAGATTAGCCAAGGCAACCAGCGCACCGATTGAACAAATCCGCTCCTAACATCGAGCTCTAGCCAAGGTCTATTCCAAACATAACGCTGTCGGGGCTCAAGAGACTCACGGTCATCTAGATGCGACGGGGCCGATGTCTCGAGACGTTCAACGCCTGCGCGCGTCTGGAACTGTTCGCCCCCGTGAACGGGTTCGGGGGCCGCGCGAGTTCCATCCATCCATCGCTTTGCGCTTCTTCTCTCGCCGCCAACATCGGTATTACATTCGGGGTGGGATCCGCAGCATCGCCTTCTCAGTGCTCAGCGGGGACCCCCAGGTCTTCCACCACCACAGTTCCAAATCTCTTGGGTGAACATTCCAGAGTTCACCCGTGCATCCGCATAGTGTTCCTGCCGCAGTCTGTTGCTTCATCGCTGGTGCTCGGCGACCGAGGCGCCCCGAGTCTGGGCGCCGAGTCTGGGCGAGGGCCGGGCGCGCGGCGACGGTCGCGCCGCTGCGCGTCAGAACGCGCGGGGGGGAACGCCGCGTGCTTCTGTCCCAGAGTTGCCGGAGATCGACCGGCCAAGAGTTTGCGCGCTTCCGCAGCGGCCCAGAATGGCGTCAGTCATAGGAGGACCGGCGGGACGCATTCAGACCTCTACCCCGCCGCGGCCCTGGGCCACAACCCGAACGGCCTCGCCCTCGGCGCCCGGCGAGCCCAGAAACCCATCGGATCATTCTCCTGTTCGCATGATCTTGGCCCCGCCAGTGCTCTCTTGGACCCCCGAGGCGCCGTCGCGGGTCGTTGCTCGTCACCGCTGGTTCAAGCAGGCCCGAAGAGGCCCTAGAAGGGCTTTCAGAGCGGCTTCAAGTGGATTCCGAGAGAGGCCGAAAGCTAATGGAGTGACGCCATTCGCTTGTGGATTCTCTTCGGGCTTGTGGATTCTCTCCGGGCCCACTTGGGGCCTTTGGGGCGCTATCCGAGCGCTCCCGGAGACCAGCTGAGTCCCGCCTGGAGCCGTAGGCAGGAGCGGGCCCCACGAGACCACAAGGAGTCTTTGAAGACGGCTTGAAATGCATTTCGACGCAGCCCAAAAGCAAGTGGAGTGACACCACTTCCTTTTGGGCCCTCTTGGGGTGCACTTGGGGCCCTGTTGGAGCCTCCCAGGAGCTCGCCTGACATCTGCCTGGAGCCCCAGAGTAGCTCCGAGAGGGCCCCGAGAGGCTTCAAGAAGAGACCCCCAGAGAGTTCTCAAAGCCCTCCAAGATGGCCCAGAAGCAAGTGGCGTCACTCCACTTGCTTTTGGATTCTCTCCGGGCCCACTTGGGGCCCTCTCGGAGCGCTCCCAGGCGCCGCTTAAGACCCACCTGAAGCCCCAGGGTAGGCCCGAAGAGGCCCCAGAAGGTGACGCCATTTGCTTGTGGAGGCACGGCCTACAAGCACTGCCCCCCTCAACGTCGATGGCGGTGATCACACCACAGGTATACACTAGTTTCTCTCTTGCAATTAGTTACAGTGCTGGGATCAGCGCGTGCTACAAGGGCGGGCAGTGGCAGCAGGCCGTGTTGCTGCTCAGCGAGGTGTGTAAGGCGAAGTTGGCGGTCAGCGTCATCTGTACTACAATTCCGGGCGAAGCGCTTGCGAAAAGGCCAAGCAGTGGCAGCGCCCCGGGCCACCCAGAGAGCTCGCGGGCCGCCCGGAGAGCCTCCGGGCCGCTGCCCGACGGGCCCGGGAGGCCCCTGGACCGCTCGCGGACTGATCCAGGATTCCCAGATCGCCCCAAGACGGCCTCAGGAGGTCCCGAAGACGGCCCAAGACGGTCCAAGAGTGTATCCAAGAGGCTTAAGATGGCTTCAAGACGCCTTCAAGACGGCCCGAGACGCCTCCACGAGGCCCCCAGAGTGCTCGAAGTGCACCTCCAAGAGGGGCCGCAGAAGCCAAAATCGTTGATTGTCTTTGTTTTTTATGTTTCTGGCCTTCTCGCTTTTCCAGCTTTCCGACGCTCCACGGCCGCTGGAGAGGCCCCCAAGACCGTTCCAAGACGGCCCAAGAGGCCTTCAAGACGGCCCAAGAGGGCCCCAAGACGGCCCAAGAGTCGCCCAAGACGGCCCAAGAGGGCCCCAAGAAGGCCCCAAGAGAGGCCCAAGACAGGGACCCGGAACCGAAAAATCGAGGCCTCCACCCCAAGAGGCCCCAAGGAAACGCCAAGACGCCCTAAAGAAACGCCGGGACGCTCCCAAGACATCCCCAGGACGCCCCAAAGAGGCTCCAAGAGGCCCCCCAGAGGCCGCCAAGCGCCCCAAAAGGCCCCCAAGAGGCCCCAAAAGAGGGCCCAAGAGACCCCAAACTGCTACCAAGAAGCCCCCAAACTGTCTCCCAGAGGCTCCCGAGAGGCCAACCACGAGATCCCAACCAACATCCACGAGATCTCTTACCCATTACCCAGGCCTGCGGCGAGATTGCCCGCAGGCCACTACAGCCAGTTCGGGGGCCCTACGTATACCAGCACCCGCACCCTTGGCTGCATCGGGGGCCTCACCGCTGCTCTCTCGGTTCTGCTGGCTTCGACCTGCCAGAGCTCTGAGCCGCTCCCCGACGGCCCCGGGACGCCCCTGGAGCGCTCCCCGACGGCTCCCGGACCCCCCACATCGCTCCAAGACGGCCCCAAAGACTCCCAAGAGAGCCGAAGCCGATCTGGCCAGATCCCCACGACGGCCGCCCACGGGAGCCCAACGCGAGGTCCGAGACGGCCTCACACCCCCAAGATTGCCCCAAGCCGCCCCACGAGGCGCCCGAAGGGCCCAAGAGGGCTATCGTAACCGATTAAGGCCGGGCGTGGAGGTCTCAAAAAGTATCGAGTTTTCGCTAATCGCGCCCGGCCTCGCGGCGATTAGCGAAAATCCGAAGGTTCTGGCCATTCCACTGCGCCAGGATGGGCCCCCACACGTACCCCAAGGCCTTGGACACCGCCCAAGACGATCTGAATTTCCCGAGGTTTTGGCCCCCCGGGGCCCTGCATCGACCCCTCGCCCATTCAGGGTTCCGGTCAGGACGACAACCTAGCCCATCTGGGCTAACACCTGGAGTGTTCGAGCACGGGTTCTCTTCACGTTCTTAGATTCTGTCCAACGACGAGTTGTCGGGTTCCCCTGATGAATTATGCAATTTTTGCCCGCCCAGGGCCTCGCCCAGGCTTCGGCGACACGTGCGAGTTCGGGACCAACGCCTGGAACTGCGGGCCGTGGATTTTCCAAGGGTTCACACTAGTCAGCTACAACGCTGTAATGGGCGCGTGCGAGAGAGACCAGCAGTGGCAGCTGGCTTTGTCGCTGCTCGTCGAGATTCGGGAAGCGAAGTTGGAGCCAGACGTCATCAGCCAGCAAGCTGGAGTCCGCGCGTACGATAAAAGCTTGCATGCCATGCGGGTGCCGTCCTTGCTCAGCGAGATGAGGAAGAGTGGCATCATCTCTGAAGTTCTGGACCGTGTGCATGCGGAAAAGGTACTTGGACAGTCGTTCTGGAGGTTGTTGAAGGCGATGAATTTGTGGTTGTGTTTTTCAGCCGAGCTTCAAGTAGCATGGCTGCGCCTAGCTTGTCCTCGTTTGCTTGGGCGTAGCTACAATCACTTTAACGTCGCATTGCTCAGCGTACTTGTCTGTCTGGTCTAGATTTCGTTTAGCTCGAGATTCGGCATCAGCAGGGGCGTTCGGCTTGTCTTCAGTGCCATCATTCACATTTGCATTCGTATCAGATTAGCTAGCGTTGAGGTCGGCATCCTTTTCATATTATGGTGTGGCAGCAGTGAGGGCCTGGTTTAGCTTCCGTTGAACTAGTTCAGCTTAGCGGTAGTATTAGTTTGCCCAGGGTTGCTCAGCCTATATCGCACCAACGTTTCACTTGGGATTGAATCAGCTTCGTTAGGCTCAACACGCAGTCGATCAGAGTAGCCCACGTATCGTATCATAGCTTGGCCGATCTGGGATTTGAGCATCACGGCTCAGCTTGTCGCAGTTTCGTTTTGACATGTTATGGCATCGTTGAGCTCAGTCTCAGTGTTTGCTAGGTCTCGGCAGAGTCGAACGTGCGTCCTCTCAAGAAGTATCATCATCGTGTTCATCTTCCTGATCACCATCATTCGGCGGCGAGCGAGGGGGGAAGAGGCGTGAAGGAGAAGGCCTTATCAGAAGGCGGCGAAACTTCTCAGAAGCTTTGCATGTTACTGGAAAGCATAGAGCACGTCTCAGAAGGATAGGGGACTTCCAAGCCTTCCAAGATTGCCCGGCCCTTCTCACTTCCCCCCTGGGCTCGCCGCCGAGTCAACTTCGTCATACGGTTGGCGGATCACAGCGAGTAGCATGCACGTGATCGTCAACCGCGGATGTGTTTTTCGGGGTCCTCGCGCGGACGGGTCCATCGCCTTTTGCATCCGCGCTCTCGCACTGGCCCGGCATGTGGGTTCTGACGCTTCCAGGCTGCTGGCCCAGTCCATCTATCTTGCGGTGGGGGCGTCGGTTCACGAATGGACCCAGGAGGCTTCAGATCCCGGAGGTTTCCTGCTCTAGTGACGGCAGCAGTGGCATCCAAGGCCGATCCACGATGAGAGTTCCACCACCTTCCAGACCCTGAGTTCACTTACCCAAGGGGTCTTTGCCCCCCTCGCCGTTCCCCCCTGCGCGCGTTGGGGGAAGTGCGCGCCGGGATGCGCGAGCTCGTGCCCTTGAGCTGGCCCATCCTTCCTAGGCGATCGGTGCCTTGGCCCGACAGCCCTTGGCCGCCCACACCCCGCCCCACGCGCCCGCGCCATCCGAACTGCGCTCCGCTGTGCGCGAGCCAGCACGCGGCGGCCGCGGCGGCCATGGCTCGCGACGGGAGCGACGTGCCCCTCGTGACGCCGCAGGAGTCCGCGGAGGAGCTCCCCGGGGCCCCTGGCGCCGCCGGCCTGCCCTGCCAGGAGGGCGGGCCCCCGCCGGGCGCCGCCGGGCGCGCGCGGCGGGGCCTCTGGGGCGGCGGGCTCCTGTGCGCCCTGGGCGGGGCCTGCGTTTGGCTCGCGGGCCGCCCCGGCCGCGGCCCGCTGCGGTCCTGGGTCCAGGGCGCCTCCGGGCTCGAGGGCGAGGCGGGCCAGCCCGGCGAGGAGGCCGCGCGCGGGCTCCCGGGCGAGGAGGCCGAGGGCGGCGAGGCCTCGGAGAGGCTCGCACTCGTGACCGCGGCGAAGGTCGACTGGAGGGGCGCCACCTGGGTCAGGGGCGGCGACGGGGAGAACTGCGAGGACGCCTGCGAGCGCTTCGGGCTGACCTGCTACGAGAGCGAGGACTCGTGGCCGCAGCATAAGGCCGATGTCTCCCACATCGCCGAGGGGCTGGGCCTCGAGTGCAGAGACCACGTCTCCGCGGAGAACACTTACGACCCCTTCGTCGCAGGGCCATTCTGCTCCTTCGGGCCCTGGAAGCCGCCGAACGTGTGGGCGGACTGGCGGCCCCGCAACGTGCGCTCGTGCAAGGCGGCGCCCCCGAGGGCCACGACGCGGCTGTGCTCGTGCGTGCAGGAGATCCCGCCGAAGGGGTGCCAGGAGTGCAGCAGGGATTGCTGGCAGACCGGCAGCTGCTGCAAGGCCGAAGAGGACGGGTGCTCGCAAGACCCGATGCTAGACAAGCAGCACCCAGACTACACTTGGTGGGGTGCCGCCGTGAACTGGGAGTGGGCCGGCGTCGTGCCAGACTCGAAGTGGATGGAGAACGTGACGTCCTACGAGGACCTGCCTGTGCTGTGGAACGCCACGACGGACCACGTCAAGCCGCTTCGCATCAAGGTACTGACCTACAACCTATATTGGTGGAACCTCTTCGACAAGAACGGCGGCAGTGACGGCGCCGCTGGCAAGCTCGTGGCCGAGTCGGGCAGCGACACGCCTTACGACTTGATGGCCTTCCAGGAGTGCGAGAACATCGGCTGGGTGCTCGGAGACGCGGGCCTCTCGGACAGTTACGACCACTTGGAGGAATTCTACTCCATGTGCGTCGCGTGGCGGAACGAGACCTGGAGGAGGCTCGACTCGGGCCACGACGCGGTGGCGACCGACGGCGGCTGGGTCAGGAACAACAAGTGGGGCGACCGCTGCATGTCTTGGGTCCGGCTCGAGCACAGGGAGAGAGGCGACAGGGTGTTCTTCGCCAACCACCACGGCCCCTTGCCCATCAACTCCGGGGGCGAGGCTGGCGGCCTTGCCACGGCGCATAACCTCCTGGCCACCATCAAGACTCACGCCGAGGAGGGCGACGTAATCATTTTCACAGGGGATTTCAACTCCGACTACCGGTCCGCCACCGTCAAGATGGTGAGCACCAGGCTGACCCTGGGCTACCACGGGGAGTCTTTCGGAGGCATCGACAACATCTTCGCCAACACGGGGAATGCGAGCTTCTCAGAGAGGAGGAACCTCGGAGGAGCTGGCAGCGACCACGACGCCCTCACGGCCACCGTCGTGGTCCCGACGGGCGCCCGCGCCGTCACGGCGCTGGCCGCAGGGGCGCGCAGGGAGGCGGTGGCGGCGCGACGGGGCCACGATGGCCTCGGCGCGGCGCGGAACGCCACGGCGCACAAGGCCACGGCCTCGGGCCACAAGGCCACGGCGCGCAAGGCCGCCACTGCGCGGCAGGCGGCGGCGGCACGACGGGGCCATGATGGCCTGCCTGACAGCAGAGGTCTCGGACAGCAGAAGGGCGGCGCCGGTCGCGCCGCTGTCTTCGCCGCGCCTGTCGGGGTGATGGCCATCGCCCTGTGGGGCTGAGCCGCGCGAGGCGCGCCCAATGGCGGCCTGCGGCGGCTGGGTTAGCTGGCCTGGCTCGCCTGCCAGCACATCCCGCCACGGCCCTGCCGCACACCGGTCTGGCGCCCGCGCCGCGGTGAAGGAGCGCTTCTCTGGCACCTGCGCCGCTCACCAGAAGGCGGCGGCGGAGGCGGCACGGTGCACCTGTTTATCTCGGCCTGCGGTCTGCTTGTGACCGCATTCTGTTAATGCCACGCGCGCCACGACGCCACGTATGCGTTGTGTAATTCGTACGCTCCGTATTATCATCCGCGGGCGACTCGTGTGCATTGTAACACGTTCGCGTCTACCGAGGCGACGTCGATCCTCGACACAGGAATGCTACAGTGCATAGTGGTTTGGCCTTGAGAGGCGAACAACTGTGCACCTGACCACGCTGGACAGGGGCGCCGCTCTCGTGCATCGAGCAATTTGATTGTGTAAGCTGGGAATTCGCCGAATTCGCAGCGGCTGCGAGCGCAGGCCGCTCACGTATTGTCCAGGGCTTGTCCCTGCCCCTGTATTGTAACCGTTGTAGCCTGGGTGGACCAAATATCGGTTGTGCGCATTTGGGGAAATGAATCGGCGCCACTTATATTCGCACATCTTCGTAGCTTAAGATTAGTTCGGTTTTGACGCTGTCGGCATGACCTTGAGGAGAGTAGTATACTGTTCATGGTGGACACGGGCGCCGCCTCCAAGAGGTATTCCGTGACGGATCAGGCATTAACGTGCGGATTTGCTAGGGTGGTTGCGGTGTGATCTGATCAGAGATCACCATAAGATTTGTTCAAGAGGTTTTCGCCATTCCGCCGATCCCCAGAAGCGGCGTGGGGTCCACGGTCGAGGCGTCGTGGGTTTCTTGGGCATTATGTGGGGATTATTGTGGGCGTCTTGGGAGCTGTGGATGTATTAACCAAGCATGGCCGCGAGGACTGCTTGAGTGGAAAAAAATATCGGCGATCAATATCTTAGTCATAGCCCTGGCTGTACCTCACTTGTCCTAAAGCATCAGAATTAGGGTGTTATCGTGAAGGTGTTCGGGTCTAGGGCTACAGCGTTACCGTAAGGGCGCAGGGGTTCGGATTTCCGGGTTGAGTATTCGGACGAGGTTGGTAGGATTACGGTACCAAGGTTCGAGTGTAGGGGCGGAAGGGGATTAGGGTTACAGCATTCGGGCGCAAGGGCGTTACAGCTCGGGTGTTCTGGCTTGGGGGCTAGAGTTCGGGCGAAATGATGATCTAGTGGTAGAGCGCTTGAGAAGACGCCACGGGGTCGGACGCGTGCCATCGAATACCGTCGTCGGGGCTGGCTAAACTCTAAGCGCGCGTAACGCGCGCGTGGTTCTAGTATATACATATAGATATGTGTATATATATATATATATGTATATAGTGTGTGTAAGTGTATGGGTGCCTGTATGTTTGTAAGTATGTATGAATACATGCATATATGTATATATGCATGCGTTAATGTATGGCTGCATGTGTGATGCATGCATGCATGGATGTACGTGGGTTTGGATGCATGCATGTATGTATATGTAGATGCAAATGTACGTGTACATGTATATGTATACGGTTGCGTATATGTATATGTTTGTTATATGTATATGTGTATGTATATGTATATGTGCGTGCATGCATGCATGTGTGTAGGTGTATGTGTCTATGTGTAGATGTGTATATGTGTATATGTGTATATGTGTATACAGTTATGTGTAGTTGTGTATGTATATGCATGCATGCATGCATGCATGTATGTAGACGTATGTATGTATGCATGCATACCTGCATGTATGTATGCATGTTCCCCTATCAGAGCTTGCCTCTGTAGGGGTCCTAGCGGATTCATATGGTTTGGTTAGGTTTGTCGCCGATTTTCGCTGCACGCCCGGGTGCCCAGGAGTGCCTGGAGCCCGGGTGCCCGGGGGGTGCCAGGGGATGCCCGGGTGCCCGGGGGGGGCCCAGGGGTGCCCGGGTGCCCGGGCGTGCCCGGGGGTGCTTTATAGCCCAAAGCCCTATAGTCCTATAGCCCTACAACTCTATAACCCTATAGCTCAATAGCCCTATAGCTCAATAGCCCTACAGCCCTATAGCCCTGATTGGGTTTTTTTTCCTGGTATCATGTGTATGTGTGCATGTATGTATGTATGTATGTATGTATGAAAATGTGCAGTTACGGATCTCTCCATCCCGCATTATTCATTATCGTTTTCTCCTCCTCCTTCTCCTTCTCTTGCTGCTTCTCCTCCTCCTCCTCCTCTTCCGCCTCCTTTGCCACGGCCTCAGAGGAATACGACGCGCCTTTCGTGTGCGAGTTCAGGTTTGAAGTGATCGGCTACTGGAAGGCCGCCCAGCAAACGGCATGCACAGCCCGGCCGGTCCAGCCCGGAAAGACGTCCAGCGCCTTCGGGGGGGTGGGGGGGGGGCGATGATATCACTCAGAATTTCCGAAGGCCAATCGACTGGCGAAACAAGCCCCGCGCTGGACGGGGGTGTTCTTCAAAAGTCGCCAAGAGTCATATGAGAGAGAGGAGTCCTGACCCAAGCAAATCATGTGCAATTCACGAGCTGCAGTGGCGACGATGCTCAGTTCAAATCTGTGATACAAATCTATGCTCGGCTCGGGTGTGATCACACTTGAGCCGAGCATCGTTGCCACTGCAGCTCAATATTTTATCACGCTTGGGCCCGAGTATTTTATCACACTTGAGTTGTTTTATCACACTTCAGTTATTCATCACACTTCTTCAGACAATGGGAAGGGTCCTGACGCAAAGGGGTCCAAGAGGTTCTCCGCGGCTTTCGGGTTCCTTGGGCCCTCCTGGCGCCCTCCCTGGGCCCCGCGCCCGTCGGCAACTTCTTCGGGACGGGGAACTGGTAACTAGTCCTGGGGGGAAGCCCCTGAGATCCAGGACCTGGTTCCCTCTGGACCTGCTTCCTTCGTGCCAAGCAAGGCGTCTTGCAAGATAAGGCCTCGCTTTTGAAGCGTAGAGGGGCTGAAGTCTCGCCTTCGTCGGAAGCTTGCGGAGGTAAAACGAGGGCGGGTCCATTGTTGCAAGGCGCCGGAAGTAAAAGTTGATCCCCCGGAGGAGTCAATGGCGTACCAATGGTTTCCTGAACCGGCTGGGTCGACTCGGACCCCGATCGGATTCCCCCGAGATCCGACGCAATGAAAAATCGCAGCGTCGTGAGACAATCGGGGCCAGATTTCTCGAACCCAGCTCTCTGTTTCACTTCTCGGGCCAGGGCGATCCGCGAGAGGCGGCGGGCCGAAAACGGAACAGGGCTACCTCTCGTGATTTCGTTCACGACAGCAGGATTTGAAGGTGATCGTTTTCTTATTCATTGTTTTGCCGATCGGCGCGGGCTCTCGCACTCCACTGCCCCCCCCTGGAGTAGATCTTAGCTGTTTTTGGCACCTGTGTCGAGCAGGCTGAGTCTCCCTCACAGGACGCATTGCTGCAAACAGTCGCAGCAAGCAGAGGCCAAGAGCCAGACCCCCCCCCTCCCCCCCCTTCCGCCCAATGGCGAGACGCCGAAGAAGAAAACTCTGACAAGAAGAATGGGGACTGGATTTCATGGGGGTGCAGGGCGGGTGCTCGAGCAGGGTCGGTTGGGTCCGAGCCGCGCTCCGCCCTTTTCGTCCGCCGTCTCGGAGTCCTGTGTCGCACCGATCGATCGATCCGACTCGATGTCGAGTCCGACCAGACCGGTGTTCCGACGACCCGACGCGGCCCGACGTGTGCATAGGCGCTACAGTCGAGGCGCTGAAGAAGGAACCCTTTTCGTCGGGGAGGGGCTCGGTGTTCCTTGATTGTTTCACAGCTTGCCTCAGGTTTTCCTTATGTTTTCGCTGGGAAATCGAAGTTTAACTTGTGGAAAAAAGGGGCCTCGTTCCTTACTCAGGGTTCCTTATGTCAACGCCCCGACTGTATTGTGTTTCCTGGCGCGGCCGATCCGATTATGTTCCGCTTCGTGCCATTGCGGCCCGGTCCCGCGCACGTTCGGATGCGATTCGATTTCCCCATGGGGTGTCGAGCGATATGGCTTCTCCCGGAGGCGACACACCGGCAGGAGGAGGGGCCCAGCCATTGCTCATTTGCACTCCCTGCGAGATCCGCCAGTTCGGGGAACGGCCTCTCAGTCACGCGGCAGGACGGGCTGCCGACTCCGCCGTCACGTCTCTGACGTCGGCACCATTTTAATGGGGTTATCGTTGCGTTGAGGGGCAAAGTTCGGGAAGCGGCATTTGTGGCGCACATGGCGTTTCGAAGACTCCAGTGGCACACCAGGGCGCATCTCTCGACACGAGCGACACTGGCACTGAAATCACAGGGACAAAAATCGGCAGCAGTTATTGTCCGTCTTGATGCGCTGTCAGTGCCACCGTGGGCGTTGTCCATTTGAGACAGAAGCCCGCCTGCCCAGCAGCGGTCCCTGTCGGTGTTGGACAGCACTTGTTGTTGGGCATCGTACCATGTTTTCCGTACCCATTCCGACCGTCCAAATTTCGATCCGATCGGCTCGATTAAATGTCGGGTTCATTTGGCTCTACCCGGTCCGATTTCGCTTTCACGGCGATCCCGTGCAGCCGTTGCTGGTGCGGTCCGATCCGACGCATATCCTGATCCGCTGTGGTTTCTGGATTCGGTGTTGATTCACCTTGCAGACACTACGGCCGCCTTCCCCGAGTTGAATCGCGATACCCAGCCCAGCCGCCCGCAGCCGTTTCTCTCGCTACTGCATATGCCAGTGAGGTGAGCGTTCGCGGGTGGCTCGATTAACTGACATCAATAGTAGATTGCATAATTGCCTTATTATGTAACAGCCACGGCCATTGGGAGGCGAGTATTAGCCTTAGAGGAGTGCGGTCCGCCTTATGACGATAAATAACTAGTTTGGGGAATACAGTATCGTGGTCGAGTAATGTTGAACATGGTTGTGTTCGCGGCGGGTTCATCCGTACGGTCCATGGTAGCATAGCATGTTCTGCAGCATGGAAGTTGTTGTTGTTATTTAAATAAGGTGTGGGACCGACGTAGTTGCCAATATGTTCAGGCTTGGTCGCAGAACGCAGATGAATACATATACGTTGTATGCGCTTGTACACATGATGATGTTGTTGCCACCGCAAGTGCAGTTCAAGCGACCTTGCGTGACCCAAAGCAGAATTGGACCCACTATGGCACCTCATCAACCGCGTCGTCCTTGTCTTCTCTCTCGTTCTCCCCTCAGAACCCCCCAATACTTCCGAGTACCTTCTAAACGCTTTTAAATCCCAAGAACTTGGAAAGACCTCTTACAACGTGTTCTGATCAGTTTAATATGTAAGGGCTTCGCGCTCCGCCGCTGGCTCCGTTTCCATCAGAAAGGGATACATCAAGACCGGGTCAGGATGTCTTGGTGTCGCCTTGGAGACATGATGATGTTGACGCCGATGGTGATGGTGATGGAGATATCGTTTATGATGTTGTTGGTGATGAGATGGTGATGTTGATGGTGATGAAGATGGTACTGGTGATGGGGATGATGAGCAAAGTGCGTGAAGTCGAAGGGCTGCGCAAGAACTTGCAGCAAGCTAAGTCCATCAAGAAACGACTGGTCCATGATCCCTCCCGTCCGTGAGGCGTGCGGACACTGGACGCTTCGCGTACCGCTACCATCACACCCAGAAGTGATGGAGGAAATG